TTAATCGTGATTACTAAGAGGTAAGGAATTTTAGCTTAGATAGGCTTAGGTAAAATAGCGGGTCATGAAACTACTTTATAATGCTAATGGCGATTATACAGTTAAGGATACTTAGTTACTTACATATTTCCTTATACATAACCCCTTAACCTAAACCTAACGTTAAACTTTACCCTTACCATAACCTTAACCGTCATAAAAAAGCCAGGGGTTAAACGTTTATAAGGTGCACTACTAAAGATACCTCTGGCGTTCTTTTTGCTAGGTCATGTCCGTGCTAAGGGAGGCAAGGAGTGGGTTGTGGATGGCGTGGTTCGTTCTGTTTACGAGGACATTGCCTTCGGGTGGTAGGGGACCCTGCAATTTAGCAGAGCTCACGTGGGAGTTTGGACTTGAAGTGGGTGCCGCAGTCCAAGTTGAATAATAAAGAGGCCTCTCAACGGTTAATACAGGTGTGTTTAATGGGAATTGTGACGACTGATGCTTTTTGACGGAGCTGTTGCCCAACATCGACACACTTTTAAAAATGCTACGTGGATGGGTTGAACCTGGAACCGCGTAGGGGTCCCGCTCGTCAGTGAGCCCCCTCCCATCTTTTTTTGTTTGGTTTCTGGTTAATATACCGGTTTCAAAAGCTCAGTTTTTTTAATTTGTATGCCTATAGACCTTAAATATACTGATGTATACAGCGCACACAAATTTTTTTTCAAGGAAATTTAAAGCTGAGACAATAATTCATCAGGCCCAACTCGCCCAGACGGATGATGTAGGTGTTGAGTAGGTCGTATACCAGGTTCCTTAGAGTTGAGGGAAATTCTAACCTTACCTTAGATACATTGTACTTTATTTTCTGCTAAATTAGCATTCGGACACGTGCTTCTTTTCACTCCTCTAGTGACCCCCGCTGGTGGGTGGACCACCCGCCCTGTGTGTGTGTGTGCACGCATGTTTGTGGTTCGGATTCAAGCTGATGACTGGCTGAATTGAAGCAGGCTAACCCCTCCTCGCCCCTCCTAAACAGTCCTATTTGTGAGCAGAAGAAGAAGACTCGATCGCTGGGACAATATGTTTATTCGCCTGACGTTTCCACATCCCTCGCGGATTCATCATCAGAGACATTAACAGTAGCAGAAACTGGTAATGCATGCACAGAAATTTGCAGTATTTATAGGATACGATCATTACTGCAAACATACAGCGACAATTAAAGTTAATTGCCTTCTTGCGCGTGGATAGATGTTGGACGGCACGCGGGCTCTGACCTGTTGAATTTTCATCACGGGCGGTGGGCTCGGGCGTGATGGTTGTTCAGCCATCTGGCTCCCCGGTGTTGTTGGTTGGTTAGTAGCCCTTTTTGGATCAGGGGTTCCCGCCGGAGTCCAAACTGGGTGCAGTTGGGAGACG